GAACCCAAGGCTTAAGGCAGGCATTCTTTTCATATTTGGCTATACTATTGTTTGGTTTAAAGATGATTTCAGGGCACAGCTCTCGTTTAAGGTTTGAAGATTTCCCTCAGAGCAATAGTTTTGGGGCCTCAGAAGCCTCGGTGCCTCTAGGGAGTCTGGATTGCAAAAGAAATTTGAAGTTCTGTTTCACAAGTCCTCCCTTTTGATCAAAATTCTTCTACAGACTCTGACCAAATCACTAACTTGTGAGTTTTGATAGCAAATAACTGAAGCAGCAGGACCTCAGCACAGAACAGCATCCACCTACCAAATAGCTAAACAAAGTAGCTAGAAGCAGGAGTTCTTAACTCTCAATTTTCCCAAAGTATCCACTAAGAAAGGGAATGCAGTCAATTCTCATGCCCTGTCGAATCCTGCTGGACATTACTGCAACTGTGTTTCACCCCATTCCTAGCTCCAGTCAGCATCTGTCTGCAACCTTGGCATAAAGGATTCCTGGCTGCAAAGGATTCTAGAAACTTTAAAGAAACTCTTCTCTCTATTTTGGGATTTCTGATGGTCCCAACCAAGAGTCCACGTGGTGTAATGGGTTATGCTCTGGGCTGCTAACCACAAGGTCAGCAGTTTGAAACCACCAATTCTTCCATCAGAGAAAGATGAAGCTTTCTACTCTGGTAAAGATTTACAGTCTTGGAAACCCTTCAGGGCAGTTCTATTCTGTCCTATGGGATCGCTATGAGTCATATTTGACTCTGTGGCAGTGAGTGAATTGATCTTTTAAGGAGTCCAGGTGGCGCTGTCGGGGAAGCAATATGCCAAGACAAGGTTGGCAGTTCAAACCTACTAGCTGCTCTTTGGGAGAAAGATGAGGCTGGCTGCTCCTGTAAAAGTTTAGCAGCTCAGAAAACATATACAGGGAAGGTCAAAGTGGTTATCTGTTGGGCTGCTGACTGCAAGGTCATTAGTTCAATACCACCAGAAGTTCCTCAGGGGAAAGATGAGGCAGTTTTACCAGGTTGGATAGGTCTGCTCTGAGTCAGGATCCACTGGACAGCAGTAAATTTTAGCATGAGTTGGAATTGACTCAAAGGCTGTCAGTTTGGTTTTCAAGAATCTCCTAAGGAGACTATGATTCTAACCCACAGGCTTGTGATTCAAGGCGGGAAGGCCTAGTGATGGGCTCCTTTAAAGATTACAGTCAAGACACCAGTGGAGGGGTTCTATGCTGTCACGTGGGGGGGCTTGAGTTAGGGTTGGGTTTGGTTTGGCTTTTGCCCCAGTGGTTGTCACCAATGACCACCTCAGTCATAGCGAAGAATAGGAATACATCTGACCTGCCTCCTCTTCTCAGGGGGAAGTGACGGATCTCCATCCTACAAGAAAACCAGTGTTAATGTTTCACTTTCCCCTCCAAAACACAAGATTGTCTTATGTCCCAGGAATGGAACCAAGCGATGAACCGAAATCCAGACCCCACCCCCAGCCCCCACAACAGCCCTCCACCCAGCAATTTGCTGACCCAAGCTCAAATGCACCTTTTAAGAAATTAACCAGCAACCAAACTAGAGTTATTTTGAGCAAAGTCCCCAAGGGGATCCATTCTAATTAGGACCAAGCCTACAGAGTCTCTAAAGTAGGTGAGCTGGAACACAAAACGGGATTTATCAAAAATGATTTTTGAGCAGAACCTCCACAGAAACTGTGCATTCCATTCGGTTCAGGTACCTCTTTCAAAGAGTCATAGGAGCCTTGCTGGCATTGTGGTGATGCGGTTGGGCAGCTAACTGCAAGGTCGGCAGTTCAAAACCACCAACTGCTCTTTGGAAGAAAGAGGGAGCTTTCTACTCCTGTACAGAGTTACAGTCCCAGAAACTCCCAGGGGCAATTCCACCTTGTCCTACAGGGTCACTGAGAGTCAGAATCGAATTGGTGGCGGTGAGTTAAACTAGTTAGATCCGAGAGGATAACGATGGAGCGATGGACAGATGCGTGTGTGTACACACACACACACACACACACACACCACTCTGGGGCAGTGGATGGTCAGGAGAATCAAAGCGGGAGGAAGCAGGATGGAGATAGGATTTGCTAAAAAAAAGAAAAAATCAACAAAAAACCTTCTCACTCCAATCAGACTGTTTTGGTTGTTATAGTTGTTGTGTGTGTTCATTTTCTGTCTCCAATGACTCAATTCCCCTCTCTTGTGTTCTTGTGTCATTGGGGAGGCCAATGTCACTCTTCTCCTATCTGATGTGGACCACAGGGTTTAAGCCTGCTCCGAGGACAGCCCAAGCCACAGTTAACTCTTGGTGTGGACAGCAGCACTTTTAAAAGCGATAAGAGATTGCATCCTCACAGGGGTGGGGGTGGGGTGTTTGTGAAGACACAAAATCATGTGATGAAGTCAGTATCCCCTTTTCCGCCCAATTTGCATCCTGGAAAATCTTGACACCAACAGTCAGGGTAAAGAGGAGGGACGTGCTGGCACCATAGGTTGCTCTACCGCTGCTGAGAGGAGTGAGCGGTTGCCCAGAAACACATCCACAGCAAGATGCCGAGTGAAGCACACGGGGTTCTGACAGCTCCACACTTAGCTCAGACCCACGGGACTGTCTGCAGTGAGGGCCCTCGGCCCCAGCCATGCCGTCCAATGCAGTGGCCACCAGTCAACCCAGTGAGGCTGAGAAACTCAACCGGGATGAAATTTAACCTAATAGTGGGGAGTGGGGCAGGCTAGGGGCCACCGTCTTACACAGGTGGGCTTTATAGGATGAATCATTTATATCCAAAGCACACTCGAGATACCTAAATAAATCAATAAATCAGCACACGCACATATATGTACAAGCTCCCAGGTGGATAGCAGACCCTGTAAGGGGCCTATGTGTATTGGCTGGTGAGGGGGGCAATCTGAAGAGGAAACCCCACCAAAATCCACAGCCATCGTGTCAGTTCTGACTCATAGCGACCCTACATGGGTTACTGAGACTTTAAATCTCTATAGGAACGGACAGCCTCCTCTTTCTCCCAAAAAGCAGCTGGTGGGTTTGAACTGCCAACCTAACAGGGGCTCATTGGCCAGCCCACAGGCTGACCAGCCCTCCTGGGAGGAGGAAGTGGGACTGGTGAGCTTCACATCTGATTTGTTCTTTCTTTACTGCCTGAATGTAACCCTGTTTTTGAACACACAGCATTTAACCACCCCCTCTCCCCCTGCAGCCTTAACTAGGGCAGAGGACGCACTGGTGGAGGAATAATACATACAATCAGCTCCCGGAATTTCTTCTTCAGCGCCTGGTGCCGTTCTCGGAGCTGATTGGCCATGAGCTTGTACTGGTCTCTCTCCTGCTGGCACGTGTCCAGCTCCTTGGACAGGATCAGCAAGGCTTCCTTCTTACTCTCCAGCTTCCGCTTACACACCAGATACTGCGGAGCAAACACAGGGAGCCACTGTCAGAAATGCCCGCAGGTCCACAGAGCACACCCCGTACCTATGTCACACACCCTGGGATCCTTGTGCCTGCTCTGTGTTAGAGACTACACCCAGGGACATTGGGCAGGAAGTGGCACCGTGTGCTGAAGGGCGCATACTCCACTCCGGACAGAACCCAGATCTTGGGTGTTCCTGGAATTTGGTCAGCTTGTGTAGTGAGATGTTGTCGATTAGGTTCTGACTCACAGGGACCCCGTATTCAAGGGAACAAAGCATTGCCCAGTCATCTCATTGAGGGGCTGTCTCTTTTGTGATTGGTCAGCTGGGACAGGTAAACCGGTTAAACTGACAAGGACAAAACCAAATATGAAAATGTGTGTGTACATGTACATATATATGCCTGGGGGAGGGCGGGGTCAATGGTGGTTCAGTGGTAGAATTCTCCTTGCAGAAGACATGGGTTCGAGTCCCCATCAAGGCACCTCATGCACAGTCACTGTCCCAGTCAGTAGAGGGAGGCGTGTTGCTGAACGGATTTTGGGGGCATTTCCAGAGTGAGACAGACTAGGAAGAAAGGCCTGGGAGTCTACTTCTAAAACCTCAGCCAATGCGTGCCTTATGGAGAACAGCAAACGGTCGGACCCCATTCTTCCTGGGGTGGCCATGAGGGAAGTTTGATTTCCACGAGGCTGGAGACAGGTAAGAGGTGGGTTTTCTGGCCTTGGCCACATCGAGCAGACCAGCTGGTCCCTCTCACCTCGCCCACTGCAGCTGATGCTGCCTCCTTGCCCCTCGCTCTTGTCTTCCCCGACCTGAGAGATGCTGCGTAGCTTTGGAGCCTCGAGTTGGGATGGAGTTGGGATCAGGTAACTCCAGGGACAAAAGTTATTGTCTCTGGCCACCAGAGATGAACAGCGCTGACAACGGAGGCTGCCGATTGTGCACAAGGACTGAGTGAACAAGAAGAGTAACGCCACCAAACTGGGCGGGAGGAGCCCGCCCTACGCCAACTACCACCATTACAGCACACAGAGCCGGGCCCGGCTTGGCTGGGCCATGATTTATGTAGCCGGATAAAATTGGGCCCTGTTTTACTACAATGGTACAGAATGATATACCTAGGGACATATTTCAATACCAAGTTTGTCAGAACAGGATTCGCTGCTACAATGGTAATATAATCCATTGCATGTGGTTTCTGCTTGTGTTTGTTTTTTGTCTTCTTCTTCTTCCTGCTTTTCTCTGACTGTTCAAACTTTCTAGAGTAAACCAATGTGGTTTCTATCCTCAGGAAGGGCAGGAACAAAGGTCATTAAAATGCTACCATGGAACTCTTATTGCCGGAAACCCTGTCCACCCCGCTCCACAGCCCTCTCTCCTTCAAGGTCTCGGTCCCTCACTCAGACTCAGGCCTGTGTGGCCTCAGTGATTCAGACAAGACACAGGTCATCTCGTCCCTTTCAAGGAAAAAACACCCCACTGGGCACTCCTCTGTCCATGAAGACCTTGTGCACTGTAGCTCGGAATACAGGATGAAGTTCATGCAGCTGCTTTTCCAGGCCCTCCTCCCGGGAGCCCTGGTGGCATCGTGGTGACCCATTGGGTTGCAAACTGCAAAGTCAGCAGTTTGAAACCACTAGCTGCATTGGGAGAAAGACAGGGTGTTCTGCTTCCATAAAGAGCTACGGTCTCTGAAACTCACCGGGCAGTTCTACCCTGCCCTGTAAGGTTGCTCTGAGAGTTGCTGCCACCGATGGCAAGTTAGTTTTTGAGTTTCTGGATCATTCTACCCCCAGCCCTTCCCCACGTCCTGATCCAGGAGTGGTAGCACCCATTTTGGGAAACGCTGCTTTAAACTCTCCAAAAGAAATCAGATGCACCGAGCTACTTAGAAGTATGGGATTTCTCCACTTCCTCCACCTCACTCTTTCCCCCCTGGTTCACCCCCTCATCGAACCCACACCCCCATGCTGACCCACCACACTGGTCAGCGAGAACCCCGACCTGGCCCGTTCTGTTTATTGGCTCCGCTGCATCATCTGGTGCTATTCACAGGTGTCAAGTGAGGCCCTAAATACCTTTTGAATTCACCCGTAAAAGACCAAATCGAGGGCATTCATGAAAACAATTTATAGTTTCATTATGCGCCCTGATGTGAGTACTTTGTCACCATGGAGGGGCACACAAAGCTGGCAGAAGCTGCTCTCTTTCCGGCCCTCCGGAGTCAATGCGCCTTTGTGGGCAGGGAAGCATTATTCAGATCGAGTGCTTGCTTGGAATTGATGTCTTTAAGTCCCACTTCACATCAAATGAAAAGGGGGAGAAAAGAGACAGTTGGGTGCATTAGGCCCCTTTCCCCCTTCTTTTCCTAAAATAAATAAAGAAAAGAAAGTAATTGCCTTGCTTCAACAACAAAGGAGAAAGGAAAGTCCTACCCGGGTGGATTTGAGTTCCAAGAGAGGACGCTTCCACCTTGGCTGGGTTTTCTCCTGGCGGTAGTAATGAGGCTGGAAGCCTGCCTCAAACACCCTGCATCTTTGAGACGCCTCAAACACCCTGCATCTTTGAGACGCCTCAAACACCCTGCGTCTTTGAGACGGACAAACACCCTGCGTCTTTGAGACGGACATTCTTTTTACAGAGGCATAAAACGGTCTGCTGACACGGTGGCTTCTCGGGCGCCACCCCACCCACACACCCCACCCAGAGTAACTATCAAGGGAAAGAGCCGCCAAAAACTTCAACCGCAGGGTCCTAAGGGAGACACTGAAATTTCCTGTGGGGAAGGCGTAGGGGTGGGGTGGGGAAGATATCATCTACACACAATTGAACAGATCTGCTCCTGTCCCCTCCATTCTGTCCCCGTGGTCAGCCGTCTGGGCTGTCACTGCTTAGGATCGGCTGGCACCAAGAGAGCAACTTTTGTCCCATCAAGGTATCTGCTGGAAACCCGAGGCCCTAAAGATTCACAGAGTTTGGGGACAGAAACCTCCACGGTGTCCAGGCAGGATAAGTGTCGGGGGACAAGGCGAGAGGTGGTAGCTGGGCTACTGATGGCGACCAAGGCAAGAGTCACCCCTCACCATGGCCTGGCCACAGGGAGCCAGCCTTCTTCGACTGTGAGGAACAATCTGTTAGGTCTACCCTAGGTGGGGCTCCTCCGAAGGATGGTGGGAGCCATAAGCCCTGGTCCCTGTGAATGTCTTTGAAGATGTTGTCACTGGAGAACTAGCATCAGGTGGCTTCTAATTGAATATAAAACCAAACCCAAACCCATTGCCAGCAAGACAGTTCTAACCCTTTGGATCCTAGACAGGGTCCCCAGGACAGTGAATCCTGACAAAAGAAAACAGCCTCATCTTTCACCTGCTGAGTGGCTAGTGGCTTGGAACCACTGACCTTGAGGTTAGCAATACAATGAATCTGCCACCACGCTAGCACTCACTCACTCACTGCCATCAAATAGATTCCAACTCATAGCAACCCTATAGGACAGGTTGAACGGCCCGTGTGGGTGTCTAAAATGGTAACTCTTTACGGGACTAGAAAGCCTCATCTTTCTCCTACAGTGCCTCACCAAAATCAGAAACCAAACGGACTGCTATCAAGTGGATTCTGACTCAGAGACCGGATAGGACAGGGTGGAATGGCCCCTGTGACTTTCCGAGACGGTCACTCTTTATGTGAGTAGAAAGCTTCATCTTTCCCCTCGGAGCAGTTGACCTTGCAGTGAGCAGCCCAACACGTAACCATGCTGCCAGCAGAGATCCTTCCGAAGCACCAACACCAGTCCCTTAAATCAATATAAGTCCGCATGAGAAGAGAAGAGACCCAGAGAGACAGAGCGAGAGACCTCAAAACCAAGCCAAACTCATCACCGTCAGGGCAATTCGGTGTAGATATGGCCCACAGGGATTTCCCGGATACCCTATTTACAGAGATGTAGGGTGCCAAGTCTCTCTGCTGCAGAGCGACTGGGTGGGGATGAACCACCAACCTTTGGAGTAGTTGAGTGCAAATGATTTGCACACCCAGAAGGGGAGAGACAGTGAGGACAGCAGCGGAGGTGGGTGTGAGGTGTCCAGGGGCACAGGGACAGCCGGGTGAAGGCAGAGCCTCTCCTCAAGCCTTCAAAGAGATCACAGTATGGCCAGCACCTCGAGTCTGGGCAACTGGCTTCAAGAACTGAGAGAGTGCACACTGCTGCTGTTTGGGGGTATCCAGCTGTGATCCCCCATTGCAGCAGCCCTGGGAAACAAATGGGGTCCATGGGAGGAGTGGGTCTGCATCTGGTTGGGGAAACTGCCGAGGGCAGCACCAGGCTCCACAGTCCCTGACAGAGACTCGGGCAAAGAGAGCTCTGGTGAAACCTGCATCCTGGGTCCTGTGGGCTGACCCTTGGCAGTGAGGTTCATCTGAGGGTGTAAGCATTGAACATTTATAAGCACCCCAAACACAAGCTCATTGCCATCGAGTCGAGTCCAGCTCATCGCAACCCCATAGGACAGAGTAGAACTGCTGCCGTGGGTTTCTGAGACTGTAACTCTTTATGGGAGTAGAAAGCCTCATCGTTCCCCCTCAGAGCAAGCAATGGCTTCAAACTGCTGATCTTGTGGTTATAGTGGCTCAACCTCTATCCAATTACGCCATCAGGACTGCGGTAAGGCCCTCAAAGGGTAAGAAGCAAGTGCATTTGGTTCAGAGAAGGAAGCCACCCCTGAAAAGGGTAGGGGCTGGGGCTGGGAGGCACTTCCTCCTGCCCCGTCTAGTCTAGTCCACAGCCACAACAGTGATGGACATGTATCGGTCAGATCACTCAAGGTGGACCTGCTCTGGCTGGAGGTGGGAAGAGTTGTATGTTAGGCCTTCCTTGTTACCTATCTTCCCACCCCACCCCTGCAAGGGGAACTCTGGGAACTGCAGTGCTAAATCACCCATGACACCTGTAACAAACCCAGATTCCTGCGCTCCAGCCCAGAGCCTCACCATTTGT